CTAAAGATTAGACAACTTGAGTATCAACAGGATAATAATTGATAATAAATGTGAAATATGTTCAAGTCCTTGAGTACATGATAAAAATAAAAAAGAAATAAATTGGTGATCTTTGGCGGATGACAGGAACCATCCCATTATTTCTGAAAACTGGCAACTAAAAAGAGTAAAAATCACTCAAGCATTTAACCTGCCTCTCCTATACAAGCTGAACCTAAAGAGTAACCTGATGGCTGACAGAGGGAATATTTATTTCAGAGAAATATTCTATCCAACAAATGAGGGGATGATAGTTTTAAAAGCACAATTTTTGCAGTTTTACTGAATAAACAGATTAAGACAATCGTCAACCAATCAATGATAACACCACAAAAAGATAGCTTACAAATTCTTCATTTTTTACTATAAAAGGCATTAGTAGAAAATTTTGCAAAATCTGAATAAATCCATAGATTTTCATCATGCTGGTGTTACATAAGAGAATGTTCCTGTTCTTAGAAGATAACACACTGAAGTATCTTTAGGGATTGGGGAAATATGTCTTCAATTTATTTTCAAATGGTTCAAAATTTTTAATATGTACACTAATAGAAATAATAGAGCAAACAGTAAAATGTTAACATTTGGGGAATCTGGACAAAGGGCATATGGAATTCTTGGTAACGTTTTAAATAATTTTCATAAATGTAAAATTATTTCAAAGTGAAATGTTAACAAAAGAGACAGGCAACAATACATTATGGACCTCATGATAAAAGTACAAAATACTACCCATGAAATGATCTTGTACTCCCACCCCCACCCTTCTCCCTAAAAAAACTGTGGACTGAGATGCTTTAGAATCTGATGTAACTATCCATCTACAGAGAAACATGGTAAAGGACACAACAAAGATGCAATAAACAAACTCCAAACCAAAGGAAACTCTATAGGATGAACCACTTGGTATCGTCAACAAAGTATTGAGACAGAGAGAGAAATGTGAAATAATATGTATCTATAGGTACAAAAACTTAAGATGTCCACACAAAAACTTGTACAGGAAGGTCCGTAACAGTATCATTCATAATAACCAGAAAGTGGAAACAATCCAAATGTCCATTAACTGATGAACAGATAAACAAAATGTGGTACATCCATCCAATGGGACATCATTTAGCTATAAAAAGAAATTAAGGAATTCATGCTATATATAACACAGAAGAAACTTGAAAACACTATGCTAAGTAAAAAGAAGCCAGACACAGAAAAACACATACTGCAAGATTCCATTTATATGAAATGTCCAGAAAAAGCCAATCTATAGAGACAGAAAGTAGATCAATGGTTGCCAAGGAATGAAAGAAAGGAAGAATAGGGTGTAATTGTTGTTTTTTTTTAGGGAGGGAGGGGGTGATGAAAATAATCACAGTGATGGCTATACAGCTTTGTGAGTATACTAAAAATCACTAAATTGTGCAGTTTAAAAGTATGGATTTTATGCTATGTGAATTACATAGCAACACCAAAAAAATGGGCAAGAAAGGGCAAGAGGGTATAGCTCAGTGGTAGGGTTTGTGTTTAACATGCAGGAGGTCCTGGGTTCAATCCTCAGTACCTCCATTAAAATAAATAGATAAAACCCTAATTATCTCCCCCCAGTCAAGAAAAATAAGAGACAAAAGGTATCATTTTTTTTAAAAAATGGACAAAGAAAAAGAAGACTTGAGTCTTATCAACCAATCTATTGACCTAAACAAACAAAAATGAAAAAAATGTTATAAAAGAAAAAAATGTGAAAACAAAATAGGTATTTGATGATACTAATGTTTACAAAATCTTAAGTAATCAATGCATGCTAAAATAAGCTGGTTAAAATTTGACCAAGAACAAGATATATCCGTAATTGCCAACTATCTTCCCTCAAAATAACCTACTGAATGCAGAGGAACACCATGTTAGCCAAGTCATCAAACCCAACATCATCCACATAATTGGGTTTGTCCGAATACAATGTACTGAAAAGGACACATCATCACCTCCATGGCATCCATACAAAAAACACAATCTGAATCTAAGTATGAGGAAACATTAGACACTCACAAATTGAGCCAACCTCAACAAAATATCTGGCCTGTTTTCTTCAAATATGTTAAGGTCCAAAGACACAAAGACTGATGAACTGGTTCCGTATCAAGGAGACATGACAATAAAACACAATGCGTGAGCCTGAATTTTATTCTAGACTAAGTAAAAATATATAGCTATGCAGCACACTGTTGAGACATGAAATGTGAATAAGGATTGTGAATGAGATAATAATCTTGTAAAAATACTAGGTTTTCTGAGATGTTTACTATATAGGGGTTTTTCCTTACATTTAGGAAAAACACACTTAAGTCTCTAACTTACTCTTAAATGGTCAGGGAAAAAAAATACACACACACACACACACACATACACACAAAGAATGATAAAATGTTAACTGCTGAACCTGGGTAAAGGGCTTACTGGGTTCCTTGTATATTCTAAGCACTTTCTGTAAGTTTGAATGAGGCCACATCTTTTAGGAATACCTGCTGAAATATTTACCAATGAAATAGTAAGACTTCTCTGATGAGCTTCAAAATAATGGGACGAGTAGGGGTCTAGAAGAATTAATTGGTCATGTATTAATAACTGTTAAAGCAGAATAATGTAAACATCAGGTGTATTATACTATTCTCTATACTTTTATATGTTTGAAATTTTCTGCAATAAAAAGTGTTAAAGAAGTCCACAATGAAGTTTCTCAAATGGAGAAACTAAGTTGCAAGAAAATTTAGTACCCACATTCAAGCGTAGTTTTGAAATCTAATATATGACACTCTATTAATCCTCCCTTAAAACCTCTTTATAAAGCATGAATCATTTAAGCAATTTTATCCTCCCCACCTGAAGTTTTAGTCAATACAAACAGAAATATAGTTGATACCTTTAACTTCATTGTATGCAGACATACAGTTACCTTTGAGAGTAAAAAATCAATAAATAATGGAAGAAAATAGGTAAATGTAGACAGAAGTAATTGACCCAAAGAGATGATCTACAAATCGCTGAGGAGGTTAAAAAAAACAACTGGCATTTATTAAGCACCCATTATGAGCCATTCCTTAGGTCATTTAAACCTCACATCAATGCTGGCATAATTTATCCCTTAATTTTTTTAAACATATATAATTGGAAATGAGGTGATTTTTTTCCAATCCCATTTTACAAATGAAGAAAATGCAGATGAGTAAGAATTTCAGAAATTTTCCCAAGGCAAGAAGTTAACTATAATCTAAACGCAGGTCTTTCTTTAAACTGCAGGACTACCATTATATAATTTGATTGATTAAGTCTCGTAAAATTTCATTTCTATGAGTCAATACTGAGAGCTTAACCAGTTCTCAAAAAAATGATTTTCTATATCTACAAGCCTCATAGACAGCACCAAGAGGCAGCCATGCTGAGATCCTCCATGAACAGTGAGTGAACAGAGCCCCTAACAATCTTTATAACTCACTACCTTTGCAACAACTTCAGAAGCTACATTAGAAGCTAAATTAAATCCAAACCTATGTGAATATAAATGAGACATTCTATCTTTAAGTTTATGTCGTAAACAGTGAATAAAATCCAAATAATTTTGTATAGATACTTTAATAGCACATTCAATTTATAGATTCCAGCTATAGCTAAAATACCCAATTCACATATCATTTTAAAAAGCAATGTTTATGCTTCAATTAAAAAAAAAGTTAGGAGATTAGCAGCAGAATCAGAAAAAAAAGGAAATGTTTTGGTCTCACACATGAGGAACAAATATGATTGCCCTGAATCTGTCAATACATAATTTGTAACTATTATAGAATAACCTATATCATCGTTAACATTACCTCTATGGAAATAGAAAGAGACTGAAAAACATTATGAAGTACAATAGAAAATATAGCAGGAATTTAATTTATGAGACAATCAATCTGCTTGGTTAAACTGGCGACACAGTGGAGGAATCATTCTCAGGCAGACACACAAGACAAACCTGTGTGTAAAATCGTGTCCCTTCCTCCATTACCAAAACATTTCAAAAGCTTCAGGATCCCCAAGACCAGAGTTTGACATATCACAGTATTAAATTGAAAAATACAAATACATATGGTCCTAGTGTCATTACATATTTTGTAGGATGAAAATGGCTTTCAAAATAAAGTACTCCCTTCTTAAAATTTAAATCACTTTTTAAATGTTGTTTAAAAAAAAATCAAATGGGCTAAAGTATGTTAAAGCTGTTGGTGGTGGGAGAAGCACACAATAAAGATTAAACTATAAAGAAGTGCTTAGGGGGGGAGGGTATAGCTCAAGTAGTAGGGCAAATGCTTAGCATGCAGGAGGTTCTAGGTTCAATCCCCAGTACCTCCTCCAAAATGTAAATAAATAAACCTAATTACACCCCCCCCCAAAAAAAACTAAAAATAAACAATAAAAAAAAAGAAGCACTCAGAGTTGCTACCTACAGGAATTTTCCATACCCAAATATCACTTTGTACTTCTTTCTCTGGCAAACTTTTTTTCCCCATACATACCAATACTATAAACATATAATAAATACTCAGAATTTTTTAAACTGTAATATAACCCAGTTGTTTCAGAGGGGAGACAAAAAATTCTCCAAAATACCAGTGAAGTATAAATTTCCTCATGTCCGACCTTCAAACTACCATGGAAAATGGGAGATGGCAAAACACTGCACTGACTGTCTGCTAAAGCCTATTTGCAAAGACTTCTATTTCAACATTTTGACTAATTAATGAACATATGATGCAACCTAAAATATATATATACTAAAACCAAGCACCACCCAAAACCTACTCCCATCTAAACTAAGAGGAAGACAAATGGGAAAGCAAAAGGCAACAAAAAGGACTTTTCCTCATATCACAGAAAATAAAAGATTTAAAACATGTTTTAATTTTCCAAGATAAAGACAATTAACTTACTAGCATGCTTGTCTGCAAGCATTATAAGCGTGTTGGAAATATCTCGTCGTCTATAAAAGCACACTACTTTTGCTTCCACGTTGCCAGTTGCAGTCTAAGAAATAAGAAAAATAAAAGTCATCTGTACTGAGTATTAGATTCAAGTAGTTTATAAAACAAAACTAGAGACAGCAAAATTATAAGATCACTGTCGGTTACACTGTACCAACCACAACTGCAGGATAATCAGAGAGCTATAAAATTCAAATAAGGACAAGCAACATTTGTAAAGGTTCCAAGTGAAACTGAAATGTCAAACATAAAATAACACACCGGCATCAATTAAACTAAAGTGATCAAACAGCTTTAATGACTAAAGCCAGACACATAGTTAAATCTGATTAGCCATAAGAAACTAGTCCCTCAAATTTCAAAAGCCACAACATAAGAGAGTTAAACATACATCCTCAAAACCCACTTCCAGAGGCACAGGTTAAGTGTGCAATCACCCAGCCCTCTCCAAAACACCTCCATGTTTGACTGGTGGTGAAGCTCTGCAGGTGCAGGGCAGCCCTCACGTGGGTGTACTAGATAGCTTGGAAAAGTATCCTCAGCCCAAGGGAGCCTATGAATCCATATAGGTCAATATTCTTGGGAGTACTTAATTTACCTTCACATATGAAAGTATTAAAAACCCTGAGTTATGAACACTGAAGCCCTTATTTCTTTTTGACTACAGTCTACAATACAATCAATATTCAGTTAGCTTGTGAATTTACTGAAGCTGGGGCCTAGGCTCCTATTCTATTCTTTATGAATTCTGAGAGCTTTCAGGGTCAATCATTTCACTACAAAGTTCATTGTAAAAACACACAGATTACAATAATATGCTACTATGATTTCCAAATTCAAACAAATTTGAGAACAAATTTTCAGAATTTCTTTAGGCTTACAGATATATTCAGGCATAAAGAAATAAGAAAATATATGTGCTGCAGTAAATTTCTTAATTTTATGAAGTTCAGCGGCAGTATTTTAGAGTGAGAAATAATCTCGGAGAAATACTGCCCCTTATAATTGAAATCTTATTAAATCCTAACCAAAGTGCTTCTATATTTCACAATATTGTGATCAAACACATCCTCCAGAAGTAATGATCCAGCAATCTGCCAAATGAACAGGCCAATATTTCCATGTAAATAAAATCTATCAATTATTTCAATTTTAAGTGCTTTATCAGTTTCATCTTCTTGAGACAAAAGCATGTTAAAAACCCAAAACAAAGCAAGAATTTTAAGACATAAGTATTTTTTTTCTGTCTCACTGGTGAGTTCCTTCAGTAGGGGTACTCTATAAAGCTAATTAAATGCTTATTTAAACCTGCTTGGGGGGTGGATGGCATAGTTTAAAATACATATTCTCTTCTGAACCATGTACACACTTGGCTATTAGGTAGCTTACAACTACAGTATCCCTCTTCTCTACAATACACACATACACACACACCCTTGAGCATTCCTCTAAAGGTGAGCTACTGAAATTGTGGTCCAAGGCCCAGTCCACAACAGTTACTGTGTAGTGAAAAGAGCACAGACATTAAGAGTAAGTGTATTATAGCATTTGAGAGTTAATTTTATATCTATATTGAACCTAGTAATGAAAAAAGAAGGGCTTCTATTTTTATAAGACTACTTTAAATTTCATTGTTCTACTACTTTTTTAAAAATTTTACAAAAGCGGTCTGAGGTAGTGAAAATTCTTAAAAATCCTTCACCACAAATAGTTTAAGAAGCAAGCTCTGAAAACCTAGGTTAAATATTTTGTATATATGAAGCCTGGTTATTCTTTCAACTCACCAAATTTCTTGTGCACTCTTCCTGTGAGCCCCACCACAAGCTAATCACCACGGATGCATGGTGGCTGCCCTCACAGAGCCTCCCTCCACTGCAGCAAGGATGTGTGCTCACCTGTCATCTCCTCTCCAGCCTTCCAGAGCCAGGTTGTCATCGTGCCCCTCACCCAGAAACCTTCACCAGTTCCCCACAACAGAGGCACAAAAGTAAAACATTCCTGACAAATTCTCAGCACTATTTTCATTTACTCCTTCCTTTCGCCTCCAGATTCTACTTCTCACTCACGTTGGGGAGGGCAAAAAAGCTTCAAAGAGAGAGAAAGTGGGCAGATGATCCCTAGCTAGCTAGAAAAGGAGCAAAGCCCACGAGGCGAAGCCTGGAGGACATAACAGTCTAAGAAAAAAGAAGACATGAGCAAAACCTACAGGTAGGAAAAGCAGGGACCAGTATAAAGAAGAACCTATGATCAACAGCAACTTCTCTCCTCGGTTCTTATCTCCATTTAGGCCGCAGCCTCTTAAATCTCTACTCTGTCAAACACATTTAATAAAACATCCTCCGGCAATAAGGGGCTTTTAGTGAACTTCATACTACCATCCGTTTCTATCCCAGACTTAGAAAGTACATTATTTTAAAAATTAAAAAAAAAAGCCAAACACCTTTCCATTTCAGAAAGTTGAGCTAAAGAACAAATGGACTTTGTGTCATTTTTCTTATTTGGTTTAATTTACTTATTTTGCTATCTTGCATGCATCTTAAGGCATCATAAATCCTTTCTGAAACAAGTCAAAGAATAAAAGAAAAGGTAGATACTTTCAAAAAAAAAAGAACAAATGGAAAGGAACTTTCTTTTCCCAATTTCTGTCCTTATTTCCAATGGATCCTAAATGTTAGGAGAGGTTTTAACTTAAAAGGGCTTTTAAAGGATCTCCTAAAATTATGTGCAAATATAGACTGAGAGTGGGGGATTGGAATAGAGGCTCAAAGAAGTTAGTGGCTACCCTCCCCCACCAAAAACTCCCCTAAACATTAAAATGAACTCAGTGCAAACTGGATGGCTGATAACATACACAGAATATGAAGATACATACAAATTATACAATATACATACCAAAAACAATAGCAAATGACATTAAATTTATCTACAAGCAGAACTTTCAGAACTTTCTGAGACTGTACCTTCATTATTATATGCACAAAGCTCTCTTTCAATGTGTGGACTCAGTCTTTAGAAGAGCAACACCCTATCTAGATAGCGACTAAATAAAATTTACCAAGAAGCTGTTTACTGTTTTAACTTTATAAACTTCCTCCAAAAGATCTGAGTGAAAAATAGGGGAGAGAAAAAGACAATATAAACGATAAACAATGTTAAACTGTGTTCATCAACCAATATTTAGTTTTGCACTTAAAAGTTGCCAGAATGAGACAAAAATTTATTTCCTTACTTTAAAAAAAAAAATACTGTAATCCTGCTTTCCAAATGACCAAGTAACATTTCAAATAGGGTTTTTAAAAAAAAAAGGGCCCATGAATTTTCTATAAAAACGGTGACTGACAGCATATCCAAGGAATTTCATTAAAAAAAAAGAAACTTGTATTTAGAAAAAAGTTAATACAGTAGGTTAATGTCCCTTCTTCTCCTGTTTGATCAATTAGAATATACCACGTGTTCCTAAATTCATTATTTGGATTTCTCAATTATGTTACCTTTTCCCACTTAGCCAACTTGACCTCCGACCCTCTCAAGGGCCTTTCTGGAACTCCTGTGGCCCCTCTCCCATGGCGACCTCTTTCTCATCCTTTAGGCCTCAACTTCAATGTCCTTAAAGCTCCTCAAGGCTTTTTCAAAGGAAGTGACCTCTTATTCTCCAAGTCAAGGCTCTTGCTTAGCTCCTTTGTAGATGCTAACACCAGTTATCACTATTCATGCCTGTTAACATACTTTTCCACGTGTCTCCCTTATGAGAACACAGACCCCGTGTGGGCAGAGATCACATCCACACTGGTCACTGTTGTATCTCTGAGCCTAGCATAGTTCGTGCTATGTTGTCAGTGCTCAGTAAGTATTTGTTTAATGGATTATTTAAAATAAGATATCTTTTTCACATCCCTTCAGAAATAAAGGTCCTATGTAAATATTTAGTACTTAATTAGCCAATCTCAGTTCCTTTTTACCAATACTTCATGCATTCAAACTGCTATTCTCTAAAAGTAGAGTCCCCTCTCTCATAGTTCAGTCCTCCCCAGCCCCTTGAAGACAATTAGTATATTAATGACTCTTGGCTGAAAGCAGAGAGGCAGGGAGAAGGTGAGCATGTGGAGGATGGAAGGGACTTTTGAAGTAAATGGTAATATAATGATAAAGGTGTATGAAATGATCCAGGTTCTAGCTAGATGTGCAACCCAGTCATTTAACTACAGTAGGCTTCACGACAACAGTCCAAGATGCATTTGCCATTTTAAGTTTATTGTGAGGCTGGTGGTAGTTTGTTTTATTTATCTATTTATTTATTTATTTTTAGAGGGGGTACTGGGAACTGAACCCAGGACCTCGTGCATGCTAAGCACAGACTCTACCACTTGAACTATACCCTCCCTGTCTTCCTGCTAATTGTGGGATTATTTGACTGATGTCAGTCTCCACCACTAGACCTATTTTTGTTCACCCTTCAGTTCCTAAAAGTGCATATCTCAAAGTGCCTGACAGGTACCAGATCCCCAGAAATATCTGTAAAATGAATTAGTCAAAGTACTTTGTAAACAGTAAAGCCATGTACAAGTATTAACATCAGACATCTGAGAAATTCATTAATACAACAAACATTACTGAATGTGTTAACTATGTGCCAGTCACTATTCCAAGGCACTTGGGATGCATTTGTGGACAGAAAAGATCACTATACACTTAGAACTTTTGTTCTAGTTTGGGAAAACAGGCAAGGAAAATACAGGCACACCTTGTTTTACTGCACTGTGCTTCACTGCACTTCGCAGACACTGTGTTTTTCACAAATTGAAGGTTTATGGCAACCCTGGGTCGAGAAAGTCTATCAGTGCCATTTTTCCAATAGCATTTGCTCACTTTGTATCTGACACATTTTGGTAAACCTCACAATATTTCAAACTTTCTCATTATTATTATATTTGTTATGGTGACCTGTGATCGGTGATCTTTAATGTTATGTTATGACTTTCTGAAGGCACAGATGATGGCTAGCATTTTTTTTAAGCAATAAACTATTTTTTAATTAGGCATGCACATCTTTTCTTAGACACAATGCTACTGCACACTTAACAGACTACACTATGAAAGTTAAAAACATAACTTTTATACGCACTAGGAAACTAAAAAATTCATGTGATTTGCTTTACTGCGACATACTTTTTATTGCAGTGGTCTGAACCAAACCCACAATATCTCTGAGATGTGCCTGTAAACACATTAAGTATATTTGAAGGTGATAAATGGTAAGAAAGAAAAGCAAGGTATGGGGGATTGGAAACAACTAGACAGTCTTAAGGTGGGTGCGTGTGAGAAACAGCCAAGAGTTCGCTGCACTTAGGGCCAAATGAACAAAGCAGCGAGCAAAGAATACAGGTCTCATAGGCCAATATTTCTCTTTGTATTCTAATGAACTTTCTAAATAAACTGATACAGTGAATAGCTTGGCGTTGCCTAAATTGTACCTTACATCAATAACAGAAAAGAAAAGCACATGAGAATGACACCTCAACAGATCCCCCTACAGATGATTTTATACTGAGGCCACCCTCTTCATTTGGCGGTGATCTTAAATACTACAAGTTTTTAAAATGCAAGATCCCCAGGGTATCTCCAAAAATAAACCAAGATATTAAGGCTCATAAGCCAGGGATACCTTGGCCAGACCTGGCCTTCTTGTACTCAGAACTGGACCAGTCTCCAGATGGCATTTTGAGGGAAAATTATTAGCTAGACAGCCCCAAACATTTTAACAATATGAATTCTCACCAGCTACACAAATAATCCTCAACCATCAGAAATCTATGGCCCATGTCATTTATGACTGAATGCCTCCACGGTAAAAGCTGTTACTGCCAGTAGTCATAATGTTTCTGATGTCCTGGACACCTGTGATCAGGAACAAATCTTAATGTAAAAGTTTTATTTACTTGGGCCTAAGGTACAAAAAGCCACTTTATGTTATACCAAAACTGTATTCTTATTAGTTAGCCTAGCCCAGAATTTTACAAATTCTCTTCAATATACTTCCTAACTTCCTCCTCTAAAGCTGAAAGAGGAAAAAATTCACTAAAAAGGGAGAAACACAAATTACGACTTCAAATATAAAAAAGGACTGAGTTACAGCAGTGACCTTCTCTGAGAAGCTCCAAGCAATTTGAAGATATCTGCAGATGTTACATATTCAGTATTAGCATTTTAATACCAGAGGTCAAATTCTAAAAAGCAAAAGAATATTCAGAATCCTGCATAACTCTCTAATCTGAAATTTCTACTTTCAAGGAGGCTAGGATTGAAAGTAAAATCACCTCTTATACCCTTTACCCAATTACCCTTCAATGGAAAATATCTTTTTTTATTATTACAATCAATACTTTTAATATTACAATCAATACTCAGTGTATACCTTGTTGAGTTCTTCTATCCTTCTGATGAGGTATGGATTGCTGGAGGAATTCTCAAAGTAGACATAATCTGCAATTAAAGGAAGTAAAGAGCTTAATCTTTTCAAAGAAAGTTCACATTTGTCAATCTGTGACTTTTTATATTAGGTCATTCATATTCAAAATGAAGCACGCCCGCAATTCATTCCCTGGTAAAAGCAAACGTAGTAACACTAACTTAATAAATTCCTTCATGTGCATACTATTCACAGACCCTTATTTTCCTGGCATTTTTCATTTCAATTAATGTTTTATTCAAGTTCTCCTAGACTCTGTCCCACACATGTCATTTCTTTAATAATAAACAAAAAGACACCTCTTATCATTGAGTCGTCAGGGCTGACTAAACTTGTCTTTTATACTGTAACTGCTTCCACATCTTTTCACTCCAATCCAATTTGCCCTGGAGTATGCTTCTCACATAAAACTATTGACCTAAGACAAATTCAGAGCATCTTGAAAGGCTTAGCAGCCTAAAGTATACTTCAATCACAAACTTCAAAAAAAAAAAAAATCAGGTGAGTAGAGCTGACACACACAAACTTTTTCACACCTACGAAGGTGAGGGTGTGAAAAAAAAAGAGAGGGGTCACTTCCTGAGAGGCAGAGCTCTCTGGAGGTGACAGTAATCTTTTAAACACTTCTTCACTATATTTAATCCAGACCCATTTAGGGTTTTATTATAAACTGCTGCAGGCTTTCAACAAAAAAGATAAAAATTTTCAAGTGTGGCTTTTCCTCTCATCTAACAGGCTCACTGGAAACGTCCCACTGTGTGTTTATTTGAGAGGCTGGGCTGCATTGTTATTGTCTATCTCAGTGGCTCTCTCCGTCTCTCTTCTGCAAAGTGGCCTCATTTAGTCAGGCCATTCCCACCACCATCCATCAAAGGGCTCGGCTAATGAGCAGAGATGAGCCAGTCTCACACACAAACACGCCACTTATCTGAATTATTATTTTACCAGGAAAGAGGGAGGAGGGCGTCGTGAGTAGGGAGAAAGTTTGTTTGACCTTATTTCTCTCTTCTGCAGAAGGCTGGGAAGGAGGCAGACAGCAGAGCAAACGTCCAGGCAGAGCTCAACTCCCTACCCGTGGCTGAGGTGCCCTGGCCCCACTAAGCTCCGTTCTTGGGGGAGAGGAGGGGTGGCTAGAGAAGAAACGGAAGGGGGAGTGACGAAGGAAAGGTGCAGGGCCCTGTCCCCACAAACAGGCCTAACCAGCTGGGCCCCCGGCTGGGCCCCCATCGCCCCCGCCCCCACCCCCACTCCCAATGGAGGGGAGGAGTAGAGGAGGGGGATGTTGCTCCCACCCTCTCCAACTACCTACTGCCTAGAAGCAACGCGAGAAAAGACCACCCTCTTAGGGGGCTCGACGGCCCCTACCCAAACGGGGGTTTCATGGTGGGGGGGCGTCTAATAATTCATACCCCCAAGTGCAGGCCTGGCCCTAAAACCCTGGGCGGGGTGCGAGGGAGGTGTGGGTGGGTCCCGGTACCTCGCGGGCCACAGTGGGGGAGGGGGATAGTGGGGGTGGG